CACCTCTACCCTAGTTTCGCATACCTGGAACACGCAAACATGTCGCCATCAATATCCTACATCTCAGGCCAGCTTAGGCAGCTAATATATTATCATCTCGATAACAATTTGTGCCGCAATGCGCTGTTCCTCGCCGGTCGTTTACATGCGTACGAGCCTCGAACGGCGGAAGCGTCATATTTACTCGCTCTCTGTCACCTTCAGAACGGCCAAGTTAAAGCCGCATACGATTACAGCCGAAATTTCGGGTCGAGAGGCACCCACCTGGGCTGCTCCTATGTCTTTGCGCAAGCGTGCTTGGACTTAGGAAAGTACTTGGAAGGTATCACTGCGTTGGAGCGAAGTAAAGGCCTTTGGGCTTCCAAGAATCACTGGAGTAAGCATTCCTTGCGCTGGGTGTTCCACTGGACTTGCATTTGTTTCGTTGCTTTTCTTACTGACATATTTCGCACCTCCTTCTCTAGATAAGCACAGTGAGACGCGAAGACAACACCTGCCGGATGCGGCTGCAGTATTCTGCCTGCTAGGTAAACTATGGCATGCGCACAAGGACATCAACAAAGCTGTAGAATGCTATGTTGAATCTCTGAAGCTGAATCCCTTCATGTGGGATGCATTCCAAGGGCTGTGCGATACTGGTAAGCTTTAGAGAGGAATCTTACTACATCAAGCCATGGCTAATTGTGTTCTACCGCCAAGGTGTCAATATCCGCGTGCCGAACATCTACAAGATGAATTCCGAGTTGCTGGCTGTATTGTCTTCATCACCACAGGAAGACGCCGAGACAATATCCGACAAGTCAGTACACACAAATGGGCCTCTGCAAGCGCAGGCGAATGTCAATCCAAGTTCCGATCCTTTTGCATCGACAACGTCTCGCAGTGATTCAGGTACCAGCCATGGGAGCTCTGCCTTGTGGGAAAAACTAAATGGAAGCACAGTAAGCGTGGCGTCATCGGGAGTACCAGCACCAATCGTGCATGAAGGGGCGGAAACGCCGAGTGGTCAAAGCAGCGGATCTGATGACTTCCGGCTATCCAATGGAATGAACGGCGTGGACGCTCCTTGGGAGCCTCCTTTAGCTCCTGCGAGGAAAAACAGAACGATCCAGGCAATAAGCGGCGAATACCCGATGGATCCCCCGCCTAAGATGAAACCCACGGGGATCCGACCGAGGACAAGAACCAGGACTGAGACGGAGGAGCAAATTCCAGCTCAGACGGATCGGGAGGCCACAATTGCGCCCAGGGTCGGGGATCGCAAGCGAACTGTTTCCGGTCAGGTAGCGCATCCACCCACATCACAGCCCACGGAACCAGGAGCGCCCCAACGGCGGAGTGTGCGGCTCTTCAACCAGATTAAACCCACAACCAGCAAATTGTCAGCATCCGCATTGGGAGTCAAGGATGCTAGAGAGGTCAAGAAGGCGAAAGCCACGGGTGCGAAGGGCCGTGCTGCAACCACCACCACCATGGGACGAGTAGTGAGTGGCAGTCGAAAACATGGCAGCGAACATCATGATGCAGATGGTAAAGATGGTCGATCGATACCATCAGCACACACTCACGCCATCTCCAAAGGCGCTGCGCTTGAGAGGTCAAAAGAAATCGAGGCGTTGACTTGGCTGCTGGAGCTATTCTCCAAACTTGCTTCTGGATTCTTCGCCTTGAGTCGCTACCGGTGCTCGGAGTCAATTCAGATCTTCAATTCGCTCTCTCAGGGTCAACGGGAAACACCGTGGGTTCTCGCTCAGATTGGACGGGCGTATTATGAGCAGGCGATGTATTCCGAGGCCGAGAAGTACTTCTACCGTGTGAAGACCATGGCACCCTCGCGGTTAGAAGACATGGAGATCTACTCGACCGTGCTTTGGCATTTGAAGAACGATGTTGAGTTAGCCTACTTGGCGCATGAGTTGATGGAGACAGATCGCCTCTCGCCACAGGCGTGGTGCGCCATTGGTAATTCTTTCTCCCACCAGCGAGACCATGACCAGGCCTTGAAGTGCTTTAAGCGGGCAACGCAGCTGGATCCCCAATTTGCGTACGGTTTTACTCTTCAAGGGCACGAGTATGTCGCCAACGAAGAATATGACAAGGCGCTGGATGCATACCGTCATGGTATCAGCGCTGATAATCGGCATTACAATGCTTGGTACGGATTGGGCACGGTCTATGACAAAATGGGTAAACTGGACTTTGCCGAACAACACTTCCGGAATGCGGCAAGCATCAACCCGACCAACGCAGTTTTGATCTGCTGCATCGGTCTGGTACTGGAAAAGATGAACAATCCTAAAGCAGCTCTCGCGCAATATGGTCGCGCTTGTTCCTTGGCGCCTCATTCCGTCCTCGCGCGGTTCCGCAAGGCTCGCGCATTAATGAAGCTCCAGGAGCTCAAGTTGGCCCTGTCCGAGTTGAAGATCCTCAAAGACATGGCCCCAGATGAAGCCAATGTGCATTACCTGTTGGGTAAGCTCTACAAGATGCTTCACGACAAAGCCAATGCCATCAAGCACTTCACAACTGCTTTGAATTTGGATCCTAAGGTATTCACATCACTTACATTCTGTCATATTGCCAGAGAATGCTAACTGGTTCGGTCTCAGGCAGCACAATACATCAAGGATGCCATGGAATCTCTCGATGATGAAGAAGAGGATGATGAAGACATGGCTTGATTTGCTCCGTCCACTTTCCACTTCGATCCGATTCTGGATCTTGCTCGCTCCCCTTCACCAGGTGCCTACTTTACGGGGTTTGCATTCATAATGGTCGGCGTTGAATTTGATTTTGGATTTTCGCAGCATCAGCATTATAAGGGCGTTTTGCAGGCCGGGTTGGTTAGAGGTGCATTTCCCATGCATCAGGCTCTCGAAACGGAGCCGAGGCTCGTGATTCTTGTTTCTTGTATATTAGCGTGGGTTGGCTTTGTCGTGGCTGGTCATTGGCTGCATATGAGAGACGAAGACGCCTGGACGACAGATTCATGGACATAGATGTCTGTCGAGCAAGGCACTTGCATAATCCCCGGATGTTATTGTTACGCCTATTCTTACGGAAATCAATTCCATCCCATTTGAGCGTGACCCATGGAAATTATCTCCAAGAATAGAGAGGTACTTGCTACATGTAGAGAGGAATTGCAGAGATGAAAGGCGGTGAGCGGCCTATTGGTGCCCCAAAACTCAGGGAAAAAGTTCCAGTGCTGAACAGCATCAACGACCCATTCTTCTTCACGCTTCCTCATTCCTATCTTGCATCCGATTACCGGGCCTTAGAATCTCGACCCCGCCAGTCGCTGTCACATACTTGGGTCATGGCCATTTTCCCCATTGTCGCTTTCTGAGTCTCCTGCGCATCCTTGTTCCGACCACCGCGCCTGACCTCATCCCCGAGATCAGCTGCCACGGAGGGGCTCAGCAAGAGTGCCCTGCATATTACGACGCAGTGACTTCGAGGCTGCTTAATATAGTTTTAGAAGACCCCTAACGATTGCTGTACCTCGTCTTTTGACATGTCGATCCTGTCCTACATCACCTCGGGCATCAGCTCGTTTGTCGTCGTGACGCTTTCCCTTTTCGCAGTCGGCCAAAAAGTCCCTCGCGCGGCCTTTGTCGCTCGGTGTCTTGCGGCCTATGGCTCTCTCTTGTTTTGCGCATGCTATGGCGTAATCGCATCCATTTTCCTTCGCCTCGTAGGCTACGGTCGGGTCTCTCAATGGGCCACCGCGCGCAGTTTCAAATGGGTTATGCGGTATACAACCGGCGTGCAGTTCGACGTTATCCAGGGTGCCGAGCACCTTTCCACCCGGCCTGCGGTCTTCATCGGCAACCACCAGTCCGAGCTCGACGTGCTCCTGCTGGGCCACATCTTCCCTCCCTACTGCAGCGTCACGGCGAAGAAATCGTTGAAAAATATCCCCTTCCTGGGTTGGTTCATGGCGCTGTCGAAGACGGTTTTTATTGACCGGGCCAACCGCGAGACGGCGATGAAGGCGTTTGACGGTGCGGCGGAGGAGATGCGCAAGCACAGACAGAGCGTGTTCATCTTCCCCGAGGGAACGAGGAGTTACTCCGAGAAGCCCGATTTACTGCCTTTCAAGAAGGGTGCGTTCCATCTGGCGGTCAAGGCGGGGGTGCCGATTGTTCCGATCGTCGCGGAGAACTACGCGCATATCCTGTCGCCGCGTAATCTGCGGTTCAACCCTGGCGTGATCAGGGTCAAAGGTTTGTGCATGTGATGTTTCTGTTGCCCGATATGTGACTTACAGACTCCTTCTAGTCTTACCCCCCATCAGCACGGAAGGCTTGACCGCTGCAGATGTCGACCGGTTGACTAAGACCACTCAGGACAGCATGCTCAAGGCTCTCCTCGAGATGGCCGATCAGGATCGCGATCAGATTGACTCGGCCGTCAACAAGGGTACCTCCACCGCTGTCGAGATCTGATCGGTTGCACAACCGTCCATGACTTACGATCACGTCCGTTTCTGGTTTGGTACTACGATGACTATCAGGCCGGCGATTCCTGATTCCTTCATCGCTTGTCGGCCTGTCTATTCTTCGCCTCTTATATGACTGACGGCTGTATTGACATTCAAACTAATAAATAAGACAAGAGGAGCAAGAGGAGCTCATCTGATCGTGCTCTGGAATCGCTAAGAGATATTTGGTTACTTCAATATTCCTATTATCCCTGTGAGTCGGGGGGTTGGTTGTGGATAGAACAGCAGGAATTAGACTTTGGATACGACTACCGGAGATGTCGAGGAGAAACAAGGTACCTATAAATCATTCCCTTTCTGCTTTTCTCATGAATTTTGTGAACTGTTGTTTGCAGAAAGAGTTTCAGCGTTTCTGCCACAGTGTACATAGCGTTTCCTTTCGTGGTATTATTTGTATTGTCCGGTGTGGGTGAAGATGGATAGATATTTGTTTACCCCCTGCTTCGCTTGGTCCAGACGCTTAAAGGCTCAAAAAAAAAAAAATCTCCTGAGACTATTTCTTTGCACACTGGCAGACACCCGTCGCACAAGGCGCAATGTCCTTGTCGATATCGATCTTCTCTATAAGCATCCAGGAATCTACGCCCGCACTCCCAGGTAATGGCCGACTCTCGGCCCCCAATCCCGCCCCTCGCGCCGCCGTGGCAAATATATAATCCTTCTCGAACGCGACCACCTCAATCCGCACATCCTCCACCCTCTCGCCATACAGCCACGTCTTGATACCAGTGTACGGCTCCCCCCAATCCACCGCCAAGCCCTCCACCGGCGCAGGCGCAATGACATCCGTAAACTCCAGCTCCCGCAGCCACGGCGCGAGAAGCGCCTCGCCGGTCATCTTGATATACGCCTCCTTGAGAGCCCAGTAAGTGTAGAACAAGCGGAGGCCATACTCCACCGCTTCGGTTTCCCGGGCGCTGTCCTGCGCTTGAGCCGGGAATCTTCCGCCCAGGTTCTTGATCGTTTCCAGCTCGCGCTTGGAGAAGACCTCGGCGAAGATGTCGACGTATTCGGCTAGTTCCTTGCGGGTGGACGGGGCGGAGCTTGTCCGTGCGCGTCGCTCGTCCACGCAGGTGATGTCTATGCCCACCTGAGGGACGGAGAGGGCCGGAATCGAGGATGGGCTGGGGGCTGCGAACACCGCAGCGGGTGAGGTGTGTGCAACATCGGACGGGGGGATAATTGTGCCTGCGAGCGCTATGAGAGATGCTTGGTGACTCACGTTGAATTCGATGCTGGGGATGGGTCCGTCGGTGCTCTCGATCAGGGTGGGGGAGGGGAGGAAACATGGTCGGCGGTGAGGCGCTGGTGTTCGGCTGATGCTGATCTTGTTCCAAGGGATGCGGCACGAGCGGTGGATGAAAAGGTATTTCAGCAGGTTTGAGGCGAGGGACATGTGTCTGTCCTTGAGGTGGTAGTACTTCTTGACTGTCTCTTGGTCTGACGGTTGGAGGGTCTCCAACAACGGGAGTAATGAATTCGTCGCCGTCAATTGTCGCGTGTCTATATACCATCGCATAAGAGAGGTCTTGCTCTCATCTTGTAAAGATCCCATCTTTCCGGAGACAGCTGCAAACTAAGAAGTAAGGATTCGCGAGCAAAGAAACTATATCTTCCAAAACGAGGGACGGGAAGAGCTAGCTGCGTAGCCTGAATTGATCTCTCTACAACAGCAAAGTAAGGGAAGTAAGAAAACCAAAATGTCATAAAGTCATATCCGTCATCATCAAACATGATCGTATCCAATGCATACGATATGAGACATCATGGATCCTTTGCTGACATGCAGCGCAGCTAACGACAATCTTATCAGTAAGCGGGGTAGCACGTGCCGATAAATATCGGCCGAATGTTGATCCGCTTAGGTAATGGTTGTATACAAGGCGAAAGACAGTGGCCAACGTCTGAGTCAAAAAGTTATTTTCTACAAGCAGGAATTGCCATGGCCAGCACCACTGTCGGGGTTCTCGCTTTACAGGGCGCATTCTACGAACATATCCAGCTGCTGAAAAAGGCGGTCTCGGAACAAAGCTCCACTACTCAATGGGAGTTCATTGAAGTTCGGACCCCGCAGGAGTTGGATCGGTGTGATGCGCTGATCCTCCCTGGAGGCGAGAGTACAGCCATCTCTCTTGTTGCGGCCCGATCGAACCTCTTGGAGCCTTTGAGGGACTTTGTGAAGTGTGTTCGCGCAATAACCCCAAGGCTATCCCGTCAATGCAACTGACAATTCGGTTTCTTAGGGTCCATCGCAAACCGACCTGGGGCACCTGTGCCGGGCTGATTCTGCTCGCCGAGTCTGCTAATCGAACCAAGAAAGGCGGGCAGGAACTCATCGGAGGCCTCGACGTTCGCGTAAACAGAAATCACTTTGGCCGGCAGACGGAGAGTTTCGAGGCGCCCTTAGAGTTGCCGTTCTTGGGCCCAACCGAGCAATCCTTCCCAGCAGTTTTTATCCGGGCGCCAGTGGTGGAGAAAATCCTGCCTCATCAAGAGGGTATTCAGGTGGACGAAATACAAAGGGACGAGACGGTGGTGGCGCCTTCGAAACAACCTCAGGGTCAGGCGGCTAAGGCGGCGATGGCAGACGAAGTTGAAGTACTGGCAAGTCTCTCGGGCAGAGCAGCCAAACTAGCCGCCATGGGAACACATATCGACGCAGATAAAGAGACCGGTGATATCGTTGCAGTCAAACAGGGTAACGTATTCGGAACAAGCTTTCACCCCGAGTTGACAGGTGATGCCAGAATACATTCCTGGTGGTTGCGCCAGGTGGAGGAGTCCGTAAGGAAGAGGAAGGGAATATGAACAGTCATAGACTTGACAATTCTTGATCCAGGAATTGTGTTCTGTTTCGATTTGATTGTTGGGTATCTGGTAGAACTCTCCTTTCCTTGTTGCCGGTGCATTCTTTCGGGAAAATAGAGATGACCTTGTTGTTGTACAAACGCCTTGTCTGCGCCAATAGACCACGCAAATCTATTTCCAAATTACCTACCTTTGCCGTACTCTTCTTCTTCCCGCCTGCGCTGGTCATCTGCGTATGCCCGACCATAACCACCGCGGCCCGGATCGTACTCTTCACGGTATTCGTCGCGCACCTGACCACCAGACTTTCCTCGTCTTCGCTTAAAATTAGACACTCCAATTCTTCTCTCTTCTGATAAAGAGGTAGCATCACGTACCCATACTGACGTCCCTCCTCAAAGCCAGGATCAAGATCTGTACGGATAATTCTCTCATCAAGCTTGGTGCCTCCGATATACTTTAAGCAATCCAAGGCATCCTGATGGGTGTAGTATTCCACGAAGCAGAAGCCACAGGGAGTTTTGTTGTATCGATCCAGCCCCATTACAAGGCGCTTGATTTCACCGCACCTATATGCGCCTGTTAGTTCTGGGCATCATGCCATGATGGGCATGCGGATCCGCTGACTTTGAAAAAAGCTCATGAATTTGCTCCTCTGTTGTGTAAAAAGAACTATGGAAAGTCAGTATGAGCCATAATTATGGGCATGAATGCAATATTTCGGTCGACATACAGGTTTCCGACGTAGAGTGTTGTGGCATCCTGCAACTTGTCGACTGGGTCCTCGGGCCTCTCAGCGTCATCCTGACTGTACTTGCGTTTCTTGTTCTACACATTCAAAAAGACCTCGTTAGCAAATGATCAAAGGCTAAAAGCAGATTTCGAGCGCACCTTTCCCAGGTAATAGGCGCTAGGCCGATCCAGCCTATCGACTGTGTTGTGGATCAATGTACTCATTATATTGTCGATGCAGTCTTATATTCCTGAAAAGAACTAGGCAATTATTTCAAGCGATATGAGACAATGCAGCTGAATATGTGCGAGATAGAGCAACGGTGGAGATGACGGGAATGCAGTTTGCAGACAAAGGATAGCTGGACATCAAGAGCTCTCAAGGGCGGAGCTTTACCTTCTCTTGGCGCGCTTTTCCTTCTGCAACCAAAAATCCACGGGCCCGCTGTTTGTTGCTATTATTGCCGTCATTCGAACCAACCTTCAATTTGAATAATTCTATCCTCCTACCAGCTTACTGAGGATATGGAATAATAGACCTCATTCGTCACCAATCTAATTCTGTTTCCAATTTCAACTTGTTCGCGATAACCGCTCACGATGCCGAAACTCATCAGCTACACTCCTCCATGGCTATCGCGCCCTGCACCCGGCGCAACACTCTTTGCAAGCACATCGACGAAAAAACCCGGCTATCTTCCAGAGAACGAGGCGGAGTATAGCGGCCCGACAAGAACTTTGGCAAAGCGAGGAAATGAAGTCTTCACCGTGGTGAACAATCAGATCCGCTGGTCGAGCCTTACTCGGCTGAAGGATGTATGGCAGCAGCAGTCCAGATCAAAGAAGGACGCTTCTGGTCAGACAAAGAGCTCTGAGGGACCGTCGGATAGCGATGAAACAGACTATTATAGAGTATGGCTGATTCCCGCACGAGCTTTTGCATGTCTAGCTCATTGTCGTGGCTAATGAATGACTAGGTTCTGATCGTACCAGTTTACGAACGGATTCGGCAGATGATTCCTTCTCCAAACGGCGCCTTTCTGGCTATCGTGACGGATCATACAGTGTACATTGCGGTGCTACCAGATTCATCGCACTTGTCTAGTACGGATCGCTCACCTATCCGTCTCAAGTATTACCAGCTTGGTCCCACCACGCACGTTATCCCCGAGTCGCCCGTTGTTTCGGCGCTGTGGCATCCGTTGGGGGTGCACAGCAACCTTGGAGGCTGTCTTATCACCGTCACCGCGGATGCCGCCGTTCGGGTATGGGAGCTGGACCGGAACAACCACTGGTCATTCGACCGACCTACACTGGCGGTTGATCTGAGAAAACTAGTGGACGGAACGTCTTGCGACCAGGACTTTTCACCTTCTGGGTTTGGGAAGAACAAAGGATTTTCCGCCGATTTCGTTGATATGGAAGTCGCCTCGGCTTGCTTTGGCGGTAGCGGAAGCGAGAAGGAGAGCGCATGGGCACCAATGACACTGTGGGTCGCAATGCGGCCTGGTGATCTGTATGCCCTTTGCCCGTTATTGCCTTCCAAATGGCAAGCTCCAGCGACTACTATTCCCTCCCTTACTTCGGCCATTGTCCCAAAGTTGTCGGCGATGGAGGAAGACTCGTCGGAATATGAGGATGAGCTGACAGCCTGCCGACAGCAGTATGACTGGCTCACGGAGATCGATAACCAGGATCCCTTGCAGAGCATCGCTGGCTCAGATCTTGAGCCTGGATCGGAAATCCTAACACGTCCTGCCAATCCCAGCGCGATCCCCAGGTTGCAGGGTCCGTTCCGTGTCGACACTGGGGCCGAGCTTGATGATTTGGACCTGTGTGATCTCCTTGTTATTGCGTCAAAAGTCGACGTGGATGCTCTCATGATGGGTGAGGATGATGAGCTCTCAGTGGAAGACAACGATCAATTGTCGGCCACTGTTATCTGCCTCTCGACCCGCACTGGCAGGGTCCATATCTGCCTTGAACTTGATGGCGTCGAGGGGCAGTGGCTCCCCAAGCTTAAGAAGAATGCCTTCAGTACTCCTCTGTCTGAGCCGTCTGATTTGGTCTTGGTTGAGTCATTGGATACAATCAGACAAGAAGACCAGCATGTGAACAACTGGCCAACCTTTACCAACGATGTTATCTCTCGATACAGCTTCTTCGTCACAACCGCGAGCAATGTCACATCTATTTCATTGAGTTCGTGGGTGCAGAGGCTTGAGGCCGAGCTCCAGTCAGAGGATACGGCTGGGTCGGCTTTCCGTTTGCAAGTGCTCTGCGAAGGCACAGTATCTCTCAGGGAGCGAATCATCCAAGTAGACGATGGCGACAGTGCTGTTAAAGGCGAATCAGACCATCTGGCATCTTCTCTGGTCTTCTACGACTATGATCTTGGTTATTTGCTGTTGAGCTACCGCGCGTCTCGCCCGTATGCTGCCATCATGGATGCGCCCGAGGTCAGCTTTCCACCAATTGCAGATATGGGACCAATTGGTTCTGGGGCACAGGCGCCAATTTCTCCCATTCTACCACCTAAAAGACCTCCTTACCAAGTCCCTTCTATTCTCTATTCGGACTCACCTCTGGAGTTCTTCGTTGACAAGCATGTTCCTCATCGACAACGCCAGTCGCTCAAAGAGCAGGTGCGGTTGTCACCAGCAACGCTGGACCTGGTTGCTGCTGCACACCGCATTCTGTCTGCTCACACGAATGCTCTTGAAAGAGCGGCATCGGATCTTTTCCGTCGCTGTGAGCGGCTGCGAGGGGAGATGCAGGAGCAACTGAAGCAGCTCTCTGACGTGGCTGAGCGCATCAAGGGGGTCTCAAGCGATATTGGTAAGGATGGTCAGCGGCGAGAGGGTTCGAGGAGTGGTGAGGCGCTGGATAAGAGGCTGAAGGCTGCAAAGGAGAGACAGGCGCAATTGGTTGAGAGATACGAGTCGCTCCGAAACAAGGTCTTGAAGTCGGGTGGTCGTCCACTGAGTGAGAAGGAGAAGGCATGGCTGTCGGAAGTGGAGGCATTATCTGCTTCGTTGGAGAGAGAGAAGAAAGAAGAAGAGAAGGATCAGAGTTTGTCACAGCGATTGGAAACCGTGAGTCTCATCTCTCTCATGAACCACACATAGTGATGCTGACACTTGCTGCAGGTCAAGGAGATAGCGGCGGATCTGCTGGGCGAGGCCAAGTCAATTGCAGCCAAGGCACCTGTCGCACCGGAGCCTGGGAGCCCGGCGTCCCCCACTGCTGCTGGGCCAAGAGTCCCACAGAGGCTACAAAGAGCGAAGATTTCCGACGCCATGAGGATGGTCGAGCGAGAGTAAGTATTTTCTTCTAATGATAAGTGCTGCATAAGCTAAGTCATCGTCTTCAGGTCTGCTGTCATTGAAGCCATTACGTCTCGATTGAACCGACTGAACTCGAGCATCTAAATTTTGACTATGAACTGTCCGAATTCGAGGGCACGTTCTACTTGTACCGTGGTCTATGACCGGCAATAGAAGTTTGCTTAATGTCAAATTGGCGAAATGACACCTGCCAGTAATACAAGATTCACATCAGAAATTGATCAAAGCGCTCGTGCTCAGCACTTGGAGTTTATTACCAGTCAACCCCAACTTCCTCCCAACTCCCGAATATCTAGGAGAGAACACATAAGCTCGAACGTAGTGGCACTGCCCTTCTCTGTCCTCCGCTTGACTACCCCCTTCCCCAAGGGAACCGGATCACAAGGTCTTGACAGATCACACTCAGTTTGCCGGGTCATCGACTCCCTTGGCCCTCCATCCTGGGCCGATCGAAGTGCATCCCCGACTTGGCTCTGCTGTTCCGCACCCGGTGTAACCTTCTTCCAACATTCGCCACACATCATCTCGTACTCTCTCTGAATCAGTCTTCGTCTGCTGCACCGCTCCCAGTACTTGCAGCGGCTTGAGGAGTCATCCCAGATGCAGCCGCAGAGGGTGTATTTGCGGGTGTACACCATGCACATATTGAATTGGGTCTTGATCTCTCTGTTTTATTTGGCTTAGCTTGAGATGATCATGGTAGATGGAATCCCGAAGTGGTTTATAACGATTTGGAGTGCCGATATATATTAGTAGAACCATGCCATGTTCTCAAGAACAAAGGAGAGGGATAGTTCGCCCAAAAAAGTAAAAGTAAAACATTGATTTCTGATAATTAGAACCATGATCTTTATACCCTCATTCACAATATGAGACACTACAACATTGCTCCTTGTTCTATCTTTCGGCGACTCACCTACTGACATGGCGGTGGGAGAGGGCTATCTGGCCACGTGACGAAGGTCTGTAGCGTTTGATGGAGGAATTGTCTTTGCTTAAGCCCACTGGAAAATCTCGAAAAGATATTGACACATATTGACCGACGGCTCAGACTGATCTACGGAGTAAACGAATCACAATGCGAGAATCCGGGTGGTTTTGTAACGTTGATTGACATCAGCCCGAAATTTCCCTAGTGTGGCCTAATCAAAGTCACAGCAAGCTGCATACCACTATACCAGTAAAATTAGTATCGGGTAATTGAACCGTACCTCCTTACTCTACAGACCTCCTGAAGAAGTCCATAGTCAGAAGGATTGGGTATAATTGGTGCTGACAGAGTTTAGAGGGAGATGTATATCAACTAGGTGGCCAACAAAACCTCCAGCGCTATTAGAGGTACTGCAGTGAGTAAGGTGTGCGGTTTGTGCATAGGAAGCAAATTGAGCCTAGGCAAAAAGTGCATAGTCTTTCTGTAACTCTAAGAACAGTATAATTTTGCGAATGATAAATACATCACTGAACGCTGTATTCGAATTGTTATCAGCGTTACCTTTCTTGAATCCATGCACAACAGACAGAGAGACGACTTACCGTTCAATAAGGTGGACTCCAGATGCCGTCTCAACAATGCCGCTGACCTGACCTGGTTGCAGTGCAAAGGCTGCCTCCTCGAATTCCTTTTGCATCTCGCCACGGCCGAAGAACCCACTTGTGAAGAATTAGCATTGAATATAACCAAGGAGGGAACTACGACGACTATGGACGTAACATACAGGTCGCCCTTCTTCCTGGCACTGCTACAATCCGACTCCGAGACTGCGATATCGCCCAAGCTAACTTCACCCGAGCGGATGCGTTGTTCATGGCCCCGAAGGATCTCGATGGCTTCCTCCTTCGATCGGGTGATATCCGCCTCCCTCCAGCTGCTTGGTCGTCTACTGTCTCTATGCTTGATCAAGAGGTGACTGCAACGGATCTTGCCCTCACCCTGGCCTGTGCCATCAGGCCGCCCGGCGGGGGCGCTGTGGTAGTCTGCCATATAGACCTTCAGCAACTCGGTATCTGTGCCGGCGGGTGGTTCCCATCGGGACTCCTTGGTCGAAGGATTGAAGTAGTATGGAAGGTTCTTGGAGTTGGAATGGCGAACCTCCCATCCTTCGGGAAGACCTGTTTCTACCTGTGGAAGATGTCCAGTCAGTCAAGGCACCAGCTTAGGAAAGGAGGGACACGACATACCATAGTGAATCTGATGTATATTTAAATGGCTCTGCAAGAGCTATATGAGGCAAATTGGCCGAAAGATTGCATATATTTGTGGATTAAAAAGATGAAGCCGTCAACGGTTTCCTCTAATATAAGCAACATTGAGCCGCCCGTACAAACTGCGGGGGAAGAAAGAGGGACAGCAGCAAACAGTGCAAACATTCTACTTAAGGTTCGGGTCCGCGCTTTGTGTCCAACCCGATTGGGTCTAGTCTCCTTTCGGGTCCGCCTCAGGCGCCAATCCAGCGCTTCTTCGAACTTCCATTGATTCAAGCGCAGTCTTTGACCGGGGTCTCTATCATCTTTTTCCTTGATCTCTCGCTTTGCCATTTCTTGAGCGTACTTCAACTTCCTTCGAAACTAGAATCAGACGTGATCGAGTTTGTTTCTTGCAAATATATCCTCTCTGCTACTGCAAACCTTTCCGTACGCGACGCTTCAACCTACACCGACAAAATGTCTGCAAGCCCATCTCCGTCCGCCAGTGGCGATAACAAGCAAACTGATCAGATTCATTTCCGTTTCTGTCGCGAATGGTGAGAAATTTCCTATCTCCCATAGTCTCTCACTCTACAGTCAGCTAACACACTGAAACAGCTCGAACTTGCTCTATCCCAAGGAAGACCGCGTCAACAACCGTCTCATGTTCACGTGTCGAACCTGCCACGTCGGCGAGCCTGCGACCTCATACTGTGTTTATCAGAACAAGTTGAACAGCCAAGTTGGAGACACTGCTGGTGTAACCCAGGATGTGGGATCTGATCCAACGGTTTGTCTCCCTGGTTTCTGTGCCCATTGCGGGGAGGAGATTACCTGCTTTACCTGCGGGCAGCTGCCTGAAGACATACTGTCCGATTGGGATTCTGAGGATTCCATGAGCATTTAACCATGCTGCCCATCCTTCCTGTCATGGAAACATTCCAAGATTTGATTGCTTGAAATTTCCGTGGCTGACATGATATCTCTCTCTTGCTTAGCTTCCCCGATCGAACAAGCCCTGTCCGAGCTGCGGTGAAGCGGAAGCAGTCTTCTTCCAATCTCAACAACGATCAGCGGAAACTGGAATGGTGAGACATTGTCCGTGCCTTTTGATTGCCACATTTTGCTGACGCTCTGTCATTGAAGAAACTCTACTATGTCTGCTGCGCTTGTGGTAATGTCTTTGTATGATTGGTCTTGTTGGTGCAGCGTCCGAAGTTTGGATACCCTTCCGTTTGTGATTTTACGGCATTGTTATGGAGTCATGGCATTTCTGGCGATAAGAAGAATCGGATGCTTCAAGGATTTCTATTTATTGGTACAGAGTATTTGTGTGAGATGATAAAACGATTCGCTTCCAAGTTGGTATATTACACATGCATAGGCGCCAAGGACAGAATTTTCGACCACTGCTTTCCTCGTAATTCTGTAGCAACAACTCCTGCAACCATAAAGTCAGTAGCTGGGTCAAAACTCAGATAGAGACCACCTTCTAGCAGACTAACCGTTCATTCTGGTTCCGATCGGATCACCCGACTTGTTGACCAGCACACATGCATTGTCATCGAATTTGACAATAGTCCCATCTGGTCTTTGCATCTCCTTTCTTGCGCGAACGACGACAGCGTGCCGGATATCGCCGCGACGGACCTTGTTCGCAATGCCGCTGTTGTTCGTGCTCTCGGGGCCGAAGTTTCGCTGTTTCTGAACCACAACCACAATTCGGTCACCTATGTCCGGTCGAAATCATATCAAAAGTCAGAGCTCGTTGATCGTAGATATTGTAGTAGATGTATAACCCACCCACTGTGGCCGGCCGCTTCTTCTTCAAGACATTCACGCATTCGACGACTGCGGCGCCGGAGTTGTCGATACAGTTCAGCAACGTCTGCCAACCACATCAGTAAGAATTCTGAAAGGTCGACCGTCCAAAGCAAATAACGCTTACCTTTAATTGAATCATTTTGATTGTATAAGCGCAACTGAGGGGTATTATCTGACGGTGTCAGAGCTGTCCGCCTGGGCTGGCCGAAAGATTTCCAGCACCGGGCCGGCAGGTTTCGCCGATCACCGACCCCGGAAAAGGCGCAATTGATCGCATGGGCAACGCAGCCGCCAAGTGTTGTCCTAGTGAATGTCGCATTATTGAAAGCCTTTCCCCCCTCCCATTCCATTTGCGCTAAGTCCCCTGGGGCATTCACTCGCCTTTTCACTATGTCCACAACTTTATGTTCGGGCTCTTTTCTCCTTGCGTTTTAATGAATCGCTAATTGACGCTCATTTGGCGGATCACCCCCTGTTATCAAGATCCGCACTTCCGCTTTGGTCTCCTTTGACAAGACATCGAGCCGCAGCATTCGCAGCCGCACAATTCATAACGCATACACATCATAGCGGCCGACCATTGTTGTATGGAAGATTGCTGATACTGCCGTCGCTATGCCGTCCGCAAAGGCAAGGGATAGCCCATCTGTCGACCGTCGCGACCGTCTGACCCTTGCGAAACTGGCCAGCTACGACGACGTCGCGACGGATGCGCTGGTGGACCGTGTACGTGATCCTTCTCTGTCATGCATGTTTCAGGCTCGTTACTGATCCTTGAGCTCTACAGGCTTACTTCTGGACCAATACTCGCAAGAATAGAACCAAATACAACCCCATGCGGGGCATTGTCGACGATGATGTCGCTCGCATCATCCTGCACGATGTCATTGTCGCAAAGGATCCCACAAAAGCAGAACGAGAATTGCTCGCGATGTCAGGGCTGAAGAAATTCATGGCACGGCTGCCTAACGATCGCGAGAAGGACTGGTTTCGCCGTCACCTGCGCAAATACATCCAGATGTACCTGCCTGACTCCCCGTTTGAGATTACCACGACCAATCGTTACACAATCACGGAACACGAGGCTGCGATCTGCGCTCGCAAATTTATCAAGCAAGGACAGGAAATCAAATATCTGAGCGGAACTCTTGTACCTATGACTCGTGAAGAAGAGCGGGATCTTGACCTGAAGCGGAAGGACTTTAGCATTGTGATGTCCAGCAGGAAAAGGACTCCGTCTTTTTTCCTTGGGCCTGCTAGATTCGCCAATCACGACTGTAATGCGAATGGAAAATTGGTGACGCGTGGATCAGAAGGCATGCAGGTCGTGGCTACTCGGGACATCTACATCGGCGAGGAGATTACAGTATCCTACGGAGACGACTACTTTGGGATTGACAACTGCGAGTGTTTGTGTCTTACCTGCGAACGACTGGTCCGCAATGGCTGGTCGCCGCATGTGCCAGCTGAGCCTCAGAGTAAAGCGTCCACGCCTGCGCCGAACGATGATAATCTGTCAATCGACAGTCATGTCTCACCTAAGAAGCGCAAATTTGCGCCTGACTCAGACACCGAAATCTCTACTCCGTCCACGCCTTGCAAACGAGGTAAATTTGTTCGCCAGAGTTCCAAATTGAGATCCGAAGTGTCATTCCTCGAAGTTGCTACTTCGATTGAGCAACCTGCTGGCCCTTCCTTACCGAGTTTAAACCCCGTGTCCAACGGTCCTGATATTGTGGCCTTGAGTAACAGCGCTCTCGAGTCGGCAAATGACACGGCCGTGGACGCTGCCCTGCCTTCTCCGCCTGCCGATTCTCCTCCGTCAACTGCCGCGAACGAGTCAGAACGCTCGTCAACATCCACAACCGCCACCTCTGTGTGCGATGCTGGGGTCAAAATCAAAGTGGAAGAAGTGATAGGAAAATCTGCGGAGAAAGTTTCCGCCCTAGCCGAGACACACGTTGAATTGTCGATCACATCTCAACGCTCAGACAGTATTGAGGGAGACACATCAGAACTATCAGACCCACCGAGCACATTGGGACAAGAATCTCTTGATTTCAACAAAAAGAAGCCCAGAAAGTCTCGTGGAAAAACCGCTGTTGTTCAGTCGGTGGAGGCTGAATCACAACTCGTCCGTGTTCCAGGAGATTATACCAAGACCTCGAAACTCTTGGCGCAGACATACGACCGCTGGGTTGACTGCCACACTTGTAATGCCTGGTTTGTGCAACATAACTCCTACTTGACTCGAAGGGAGTGCCCTCGCTGCGAGCGTCACTCTATGTTGTATGGATATCGGTGGCCTAAGACTGATAGGGAGGGCCCGTCGGACGATGAGGAACGAGTGATGGACCATCGGACGGTGCACCGCTTCCTATACCCTGAGGAAGAGGCACTCATCTCGCGTAAAGATCGCGGCGTCAGTTTCGGTGTGACGCCCACGCCGGAATTGTCTGAGCCACGCACAGAAACCGAAGGAAGCGAAGGCTGTGACGACAGACGCACTACTCGTGCGAGCCGGCAACGCACTCGTTCGCTTCGAATGACAATGTGATGACGGCGACTTCTGTGTTTTTGGCATTCTGTACTAATTGGGAATGGTGTTTGTGGGCTGGTAACATTTCATTGCGATGTTGGGATCTGGGATTCATCGAGGCATGGCGCTCCAAGACACGGCATATTGCATCTATAGACATGGTTTCATGATTTGGCCTCATTTTTTGCATACCGCTATACTGTACAAGATGCAGTAACATATCCAGGATTTGGGACAATTACACAATCTCACAACATCACACCCTCTCAATTTTCCAGCACGAGGTCGCCAATCCCCGACAATCAGGGACAGTGTGATTCCCTTTTGTGTCTTCCCCGCATTTTGCGTTACTCCACGTTTTCTTCATGATTCCTTCGCGAAGCTGGGAAATATAACTGCACCAATCGCGAAGGGCTCTGTCTCCCTTTCCCCGAACTTGGCATCTAATTTGACTTCATCTTCGTTTATTCTCCGGGTCTTTAGGTCTGATCTCGGTGTGTCTCATACCGAGAACCTGCCAGTGTTGCTGCTGCGCCAAGATGCCGTATAAATGAGCAGAGATACTCGGGTCTCTGTAGGAATCGCCTCCTGGGCCATTTCCTGGTAAGATCGTCGCTTGTAGCCATGGGGATCTCGACAAAGTATATCATTGCTCTTTGCGTCGTCTTTCTGACCTTCTCGCTCTCCAGCGCCTACAGAGATCCACTTGTCGAGCTCGACTATGGGCAGTTCCAGGGCAAATATGACTCTACCTATAATCTCTCATACTTCCGCAAGATCCCCTTTGCAGCGCCGCCAACAGGGGAGAACCGGTTTAGAGCACCCCAGCCGCCTGTGAAGGTCACGAATGGCGTCTATGACACCGATCAGGACTTTGACATGTGCCCGCAACGCACCGTCAATGGCTCCGAAGACTGCCTCTACCTAGGCCTGTTCTCACGACCGTGGGATGATACAGTCGCTTCCTCGTCTGCTTCTAGACCAGTCTTGGTTGTCTTCTACGGTGGTGGCTTCATTCAAGGCAGCGCTTCGTTTACACTACCCCCGTCCTCATATCCAATCCTGAACGTCACCGATCTGAATGACTACGTGGTCATCTACCCCAACTACCGGGTCAATGCCTTTGGTTTCCTTCCAGGCAAGGCGATCAAGCGCTCTCCAACGTCTGATCTCAACCCTGGCCTCCTTGACCAGCAGTATGTCCTCAAGTGGGTGCAGAAATACATCCACCACTTCGGCGGCGACCCTCGCAACGTCACGATCTGGGGCCAATCTGCCGGCGCAGGCTCGGTGGTGGCTCAAGTCCTCGCCAACGGGCGGGGAAAGCAACCCAAGCTCTTCTCCAAGGCGCTCGCCAGCTCGCCGTTCTGGCCAAAGACCTACGCCTATGACTCCCCCGAAGCAGAAGCCATCTACGACCAGCTCGTCAACCTCACCGGCTGCGCCAACGCCATGGACTCCCTCGCCTGCCTGAAATCCGTCGACGTCCAGACTATCCGTGACGCAAATCTGATCATTAGCGCCAGCCACACCTACAACACAAG